TTCGAACATAATTTGTTAATATTGAAAATACTAGTTGTCAATTATTCTAAAGATAACATGTTCCTTGAAAATTGATAAGTTATCAGTGTTATGCAAAATAAAATAATATATGTTATAAATTTAGTTTCTAAGCATGTATCTATATGTCAATAATTCTAGATGAGTTTTAATATTTGAAGAATCACTTTTTAATATTCAAACATGACTAGTCACTATTTAAGAAACAAGTTGTTAATTTTCAAGAATCGTTTGTTCAATTTTTTTCAACTTGCTCCTTAAATATTGATAGGTTATTAATATTATACTAAATAAAATATTATGTAAAAAATATAATTTTCAAGAATTTTCATAAGTTGTCATCAATTTTAGAGTTGTTAATATTGAAATATTAACTTGTCAGTATTTGAACATAACTTGTTAATATTTAAGAAATAAGTTGTCAATTTTTAAAGCTCATTTTATTCAAATTTTTAGAATTTGCTCATTAAATATTGACAAAATATCAATATTATACTAAATAAAACAATACATATGCTATAAATGTAGGTTTCAAGGATTTCCGTGAACTATTGTTAATTCTAGACAAGTCGTCATTAATATTTGAATAATAACTTCTTAATATTTAAACATGATGGATCAATATTCAAACATTTAATCCTACAACATGGATTTGGATCCTCCCCATATACTCCCTTAATATATCTCTCTATATTCAATCTCATCCATCAGCCTAATTATTTTTTAAATTTAATGGTGTTAGATTATTAATTATGACATTAAAATAAATAGACTATTCACTATCATTACTTAAATATTTTTGAAAACAAGTTTCGTAATGCTTATTTATGATAATCATTAAATGAATAATATATTTATTTTAATATCATAAATAGCAATCTAATACCATTAAACTAAATGAATAATGGAATAGACGGATGAGCTTGGGTATGAAGGAATGTATTGAGGGAAGGTATGGGGAGGATGCAAATCCATGGGCCAAAGCTTTAGTAACACAATATTTCAATCCATAATATTCGCAAATCATCAATAGTGATACTACGTTTAAACTCATTGTGCAATGTATAAAGAAATATGTTTAGTTTTATGGTTAACAATAACAAGCAACACTTGGAGTTTTTTATACAAAAATAATAAAGAGCAAGTGTATGATAAATTAATCTAGTTTATTTTGCGAATTTAAAATAAAAATATGTTTCACATAATACAATCAAGCAAACAATTATAGAAAGATCTTCTGAACCAAAAATAAAAAATAAAACAATGATAGAAAAACCAGTATTGCAAACAGAATATAATAAAGGGTCAATCAAGTTGATACTAGTTTTTCTTCTTTTTTGCAACAAAAATTGGATCATAGATATATTGGTCGCATATGTACATTAATTGAGGACCAAGTAATTAGAAATGATGGGAAAGGTGAAAATGACAGGAATTTCAAAAGAGGAATTAGTTTGAAAGAATCTGAAAATCTCTACAAACTTTGGCAAAAAGGTTCTAGAAAATGCACAAGGGCCATATAAATTAAAAGTCAACAAAGAATTGTGATCATTGGACGGTGCTCTAATTTCTTTTGGTTTTTTTTTTTGTTTAGTGGAGTTTGAGAAATTCTTGATTCTTTTTCTCACTTTCATTTGTTTGTTCACAAGAGAGACCGTCTTTAACAGAATAATTAATCTTGTTTCGCCAAAAAAAAAAAAGAATAGTGAATCTTTCACCAAACAACCAACTTCATGATGACTCTTAAGTTCAAATCTTGAGAATGTATAAGCATTTAGTAGGTAGAGATTTTGTCCAAAAGAGTCCTGACTTAGTTCAATCCGACTTAGTCAAAGCCTTGGTTTCAGATATTAAATGATTTACTACAAAAAAAAAAATGAATCTTTCACATGAAAAAGCATTTTTCTGTTTTTTTAAAGGAAAAATTAATCTACAAGTTCCTCTAGTTTTTCTTGAGTTGAATTAGATCATTTGTGATTTGTTGTGTTTTAATCAATTCCTTATAGTTTGATTGATTAGATATGCTAATCTTTGAAGGTTAAAATTATTTATTTTTTTGGCCAACAAGGTTAAAATTAGTGATGAATGATTAAATTTTCCAAAATAAAATAATTTTAAAATTTATAGAAAATTTGTTTTAATACTTTTAGGAAAAAATAAAATAAAATATAATACAATATTTACATTTTATTACATTTTTATTAAATTTCTATATGTATAAAAATTATTTAGAAGACATAATCTAATTACATGAATTTTGAGTTTTAAAAAATATGCAATTAATTCTAAAATTATATAATCATTTAATAAAAGTATAAAAGTTCTTAATTTTATTTTTTAAAAACAAAACATTTAATGATTTTAATCTTGAGAGACTAAAATATTTAATCGATCAAACTATAAGATCTTGATTAAAATAAAATAAATTATATAGATCTAATTCAAAATCGGAAAAGAAGGACTTGCAGATTAATTTTTTTCTTAAAAAAAAAACAAATTACGTTGGGTACTTCTATCTAACAAAAATAACTCTCAATGTAAGTGTTTCTATTTACAAGAGTTTATTTTGAAACTTTAATTATGGGATATGAAAAAGAAAACCCTTCAATTTAGATTCAACCATAGCGCTCATTGATCTCTAGTTGTGCTGCAAGCCTGCAACTATTAGAAAGTTTATATATTTTCGTGTTACAATATAAATATTAGGATTTTCAAGTAAAAAAAATGAAAATAAATTACTTATAAGTTTTAAGTAGTAGAGACTCTTATTCTTTAAACAAGTGATTAGAGATTTAACTATCAACATTTATATAAAAAGTGAATCTGATTGAGAGTATCTTAAAGGAGATTAGCCTCTGCAATTGGTAAATTATTATCCAAAAGACAATGATGTATCATTATTAAATATTAATGCGCACACACACACATATATATATATGTGTATATATATATGTATATAGAGAGAGAGAACAGACAATGGAAGGCCATGATAATAAACATATAATATTTGTAATTATTGAAAGAGAAAGTGATATATCTTCAATGAACGAAATGAAAAAGAAAACACAAAAACGCTTTTCGAAAATTTAATATACATAATTACATATAGCTGACGAATAATATAAAGAAATCACAACAAAGACCTATCTTCATTTCATTATATTCAATTCTCATTTATGAAACAAATTGCCATGCTTCACGGATCGGAGCATATTCATCATTTCTGCTTTTTTATATTAACTTCAATTTCTAGACACTGCTTTTCGCCTTACAAATATATAAATAAAATCCCTTAGACAGTTAGATATTTTGTGTCTGAGTTATTAGCCAAAAGGAATTTGGGGTGCTGAGATTTTATGTTAGTAGCATCTTTTTTTTATAAGATTTTTTTAATATTTTAATTTTTTTATTGTATGCAGGTGTTCTTTTATTAAAAACAATCTTATCCATGTTAAATATTAAATATAAATATCTCTCTTAAATAAGATTTAAATCTTAATTCGCTATGTTTTAAGTTGTAAGGTAATATCTTCCGCTAAACCTGACTCTGTTAGTTTAATATTTAATCAATTGATTCAGTCTACGAATCTTCAAACTGCTGGCAGAAAAAAAAATCCACACTTATTAATTAATATACACTTCCAAAACTATTTAAAAAAATCAATATTGACCGAATGAGATCCTTGATTTTCAGCCCGGAAAAATTATTTAATTTTGCAACTGAAAAAAATCATGAGTGATCGAGGATGTTATTTAATTATTTTCATCTGACAACATTTGAATTATTTAAATTTAATCTCAATGTACAAATTCAATTTTTTATAAATAGTAAAGATACTTCTTTTCCAAGATGATTCCTTTATCAAAATATTAGGCATGCAAAATTTATTCGATATAGATGTAAAATTAGAGAAAATTTTCATGCATTAACATATTATTTATATTTTGTATACCAAAAGTGAAACAGCTACACTTGAAATAGCATTTATGTTCTGTTATCAATCTTATACGGTAAAAAATAAAATAAAATATTTTATAAGAGATCAAATCTAAACCATTTAAATATTAGTCTTGTGATTAGAAAACAGAAATTAGGAAGAGAGGGGGAGAGCATGGAAAGGGAAGATAAGAGACTCTTTCCCTTTTCTAACCACTAGATCAATATTTATATTATTTAAATTTGATCTCTGATAAAATTATTATTAAATTATTTAATTATGAAAAATAAACAAACAAACAAATTCAAATTGCTGAAATTTAATACAAATAGTTTAAAAATAAAATAAAAAAAAAATAAAAATAAATAATTAACAGGATTCAAGTCTAACAAAAGGGGTTAGTCCATCATAACATGACAAATTAATATTTGAATTTCTGCTAGGGGATATGCCCGCATTTAGTACATGACTGTATCTCGAACATGATTACTTACAATAGGAAGACATCTAAGAGCAATAAAAAAAATAGAAGGAAATATTTTATAAAATAGATGAGCAAATTGGCCTATAAACTATAAGTTTATAAGCATTTAAAATCTTAAATTTATCTTTTATACAATTTTTTTTGAAATGGTGCAATTTTACTCATGTCATTAATAAAAGTTATCTTTATGTAAATTTTTTGGGTCCTTATCTCTAATTTGAGTCATTTACTGTAATTTTGTTTTTTTTATAATTTTTAATATCTTTTTCTATCATTTTTTAATCAACTAATATTAAAGTTAACTTTTATTAATGATGAGATTAAATTACATTATTTTTAAAATTTAAAGAAAAATTTTGTACAGAAAATATGTTTAGAATTTGAGAGGCTTCTAAACTACTAAAAAATAAAATTTGATCCGTCCAAATATTAATATTGTAGTTAAAAAAAAATGAGTAGAGAATCCTGGCTTGCTAAGGGTGTGCCAAACTTTACGAGGCAAGGTGCTATATAAAGGTGACACCCTACACACTGAAATGTGTAATGTGAGTGTGAAAGAAAGGCTCTCTCTCTCTCTCTCTCTCTCTCTCTCTCTCTCTCTCTCTCTCTCTCTCTCTCCTCTCTCTCTCTCTCTCTCTCTCTGGGATTGGCTTGTGGAAAAGAGAAAAGCGAAAATGGGAGCACTCGATTACCTCTCCAACTTTTGCACTGTTGTGAGCACCTCCTCCTCCAGGCGCAAACCAATGCAGGTTCTTCTTTCTCTCTCTCTTCTTCTAAACACAGATTTGAATCAATGCCATTTTGTCTTTCACTGGTTTATATATTATACGTTTCAGACTGTTGAGATCAAAGTTAAAATGGACTGTGATGGCTGTGAACGAAGAGTCCGAAATGCTGTCACCCACATGAAAGGTCTCTCTTCTCTCTTTACTTATATTTCTCATCTTCGGTTGATTTAGATTTCATTCCGGTTTTTTTTGACAAAAAAAAAAAATTTCATTCTGTTTTGAATACTCTCTTCAAAGTACTTTTAAAAGAAATTTATCATCTCAAAATATAAAATACTTTAAGAAAATTAAGATTTCATTAAATGTGCTTATTTTCATCTCTTCTCTTTTTAATATATTAAATTATGAGTGTTTTTATAAGTTTATATTTTTACTTTAAAAAAATAAAATTGTTAAGTATATTTAATGAGATTTATTGGTATGTAAAATTTTATCTAAAAATATTTATAATTTATAACAGAGAGAGTATTATAGAACAATATTTCTGATTATGTACAAATATTAATTATCTTCCTTTGTAAATTACTAGTACAAGAAGTGATCTACAATATTGATGATCCTCAGTTTGACCACTTATACAATATACTCTGAAATGATAATTACGGCTAGTGATAATATAACTTTTAGCTCTTGAACTTTCTCTTAACTATTAAGTTAGTGTTTGAATTTTAACTCAATACGATTAATCCTTATAATTTATAGAGTTAAAGAATCATAGAGATTGAATTCTATTGAGTTGAACAACTATGATTAAGAACTAAATTGTTTTAAATCAAGAAAGTTTAGGGACAAAGTTGTTCAAAGTTCAAAGACTAAATCAATAATTGGAAGAAGAAAAAAAAACTCAAGGATCAAAAATTATATTTTCTCTTACAATTATAATTGTAGCATTAGTGTAAGCCAAAATAGGAAACATATATGAAACACCCTACCAAAACCACTACTTATTTTCAATTGTTCATTCTCTAAAGCCTATAACTTTTATAACAATTATTCATTCTCATAAAATTTTCATGCCCTTGATTTTTTTTTTTTTTTGGGGTATTGGGTGTAGGAGTGAAATCTGTGGAGGTGAACAGAAAACAAAGCCGTGTAACAGTAAGTGGATATGTAGATCCAAACAAGGTGTTAAAGAGGATTAGAAGAACAGGCAAAAAAAGAGCAGAGTTTTGGCCTTATGTTCCTCAACATCTGGTTCGTTTTCCTCATGCTTCCGGTGTCTACGACAAGAGGGCGCCGGCCGGCTATGTCCGGAACGTTGTTCAGTCATCGGCGATGACATCGAACACGCCAGAGGAGCAATTCATGACCTTCTTTAGCGATGATAATGTAAATGCTTGTTCCTTAATGTAATTAACGATACTATGTGATACTTAATTGTCATGTCATTTAAAAAAAAAAAGGCGTCAACTTTTTTGTTTACATTCCGTCTTCTGTCAATTTCGATGGTCAACAAGGGTAATTCTTTCTCTCGCATGGTATCCTATAAGGAGAGAGAGGTAATATATGAGATGCGTCGGCCCCATACTGAGCGGAGCACCCACTCAATGTGTATCAATGTTTTTAAAACTTGGCCCAATATTGAACCAAAAATATTAGTGATTTATAGTTTGTATGGACTAATTAATAACATAATAATTAAATTAAAAAATTATATATAATAATAATAATTTAAATATAAAAAATAAATATAAAATTATTAATTAATTTAAAAATAAAATTAAATATTTTAAGTTTATTATGATTTAATAAGTCACATAATACAACATAATATTAAATGATTGAAAAAATTAATCATTTTCAAAAAAATTGATAAAAAATAAAAAATGGAAAATGGCATTTTTTTAATAGTCTAGTTTTAAAAACTGGATTCGATTCCCAACTTAATCATGTTTCCTGATTCAAATGCCGATGCAAAGCAGTCCAATTCAACTCACCTCTCCAAACAATTATTTTAGCTTGACTAAGTCATTAACATAACCAGTTGAGAGTCTAACCACTCAATTCAGTCTGATTTTTTAATCATTAATGTGTATATCTCTCTCTCCTGTGGCACCGTGCTATTACAGTGAATAAGTAATTATTTTACGTCATGTTACGTCGGAGATTGATGGAATCAAATTTATGGCTAATTAATCATGTAACTCTATGCCATGATTTTGATGTGGTTAAATTGATTGTTCTTGAAATAATTAATATAATTAAGCATACAATATTATTGATCTCAATATGAGGTGGCTAATGGCTTTGAGATGTGAGTTTATAAGAATAATTATTGAAAGTGATTACTTTATATAATTATATGGCTGAAGCTACAAATGATGAGTGAAATACAATACAACTGAATGGATTATAATCATATTGGATCTTTATAATAAACAAATAAGTTGATATAATGCAAGTTGTCATGTACAAGATTGGTTGGTCAAAAGAAGTACAAGGCTGACATGCTATAAAGAGAATTCCAATTCTTTCTTGCTAATAGAGAATTCAATAAAAAGGTGTTTGTTGTAATTAATAAAATTTTTAAATTAAGGCAATCTAATAAATAAAGATAACATAAAAAGAATAGATAATATTTATTATTAACTAACTAATTGAATATGTAAATTAATTAAAAGTGTCTTGTAACTGGGAAGGGAGAGTAATGCTGTCCCATGTCCTTAATTACCACCTCACACAAATTGAGACATTGAGTTAAAGTTTGATAACCTTATTAAATTTATCACATTTAGATTAGTTTCAAAAATTACACTCAATCCCCCAACTTAATTAAGAAAAAAAATTACTCTTATGAGGTACTTGAAAGAGATAATTTTTTTTAATCCTTTTTATAAAGTATTGCATAAGATATTTATTACAATTTTTTTTCAAACGGTCCTTATTCAATATTGGTTTTTTTTTATGAATATTCAACATTGGTTTATATTCTTCAAACTTGGCAGTTTGACTTGTCTAATGTTTGGGTTTAATAAAGGCAAATTTGAAAAACTTTGTTAATTTTGAAATAGAGTTAACTAGAGAGAGTATATTCTTTTTTTTTTTTGGAACGAATAGAGAGTATATTCTTAATTTTATATATTTAAGGTATTTATTTTCAATCAAATCAAGACATATAAATTTGTATATGATATAAATTTTATAATAAACTTTTGTTATTACTATTATTAAAACTTTAAAAAATACTTGCTATATTTTGATTGGACAAAAATATATTAAGCATTAATAAAAATATATGTGAGAAACAAACAAAAATAGATGAACACGTAAATCTTTTACTTAATCCACCTCTCTCTCACTGGTCCCAAAAAAAAAAAAATCCCCTCTGCCCACATATTTAAGTACTCCAAATATTAAAAACAGTGAATGAAAATTATTGATTAGTATCAATAAGGCCATTCAAAGGGGGAAAAAATAATTAATGCCTCTCACAATATGCAAAAGGCATAATAATACAAACCATGGAAAGTTGAAACCTTCCGAAAAGGCCTTTTAATAAAGATCAGAAGGGGTAAATGCAATATTTATTATCTTGTTATTTTTATTAGCTAAAGTATACTTTTTAATCTTTTAATTTTATATAAAATTTTAATTTAGTTCCCTAATTTTATAAATTATCTTTTTAATTTTTTTAATTTTAACATTGTTAGTTTTAAATAATTTTTTTCATATCAGTCCTTGTTATTTTAAAAAAATTAAAATTAATATGTCAACATTTAAAAATATTTTATTAATATTTAAAAGTTTAATGTAAAAATTTATTGACATAAAACTAACAATATTAAAGTTAAAGAATTAAAAAAATACTTTATAAAATTAAAAGATTAGAATGAATCATTATGTAAAATTAAATGACTAAATGTATATTTTAACCATTTTCATTTAATATACAACTATCTTTTGTATGTTTAATATTGTCAAATTGTATTTGAGTATTATTAGATCTAATTAGATGTAAATCTTCTAATGTAATTTTTTTCTATCTAGTAAGTTCAGATCATCAACCTTATTATCAAATCCCTTTTTGCTTGATCCAACACCGTTGCTATATTTTAATATTCATCATTTGGCAAAATTGTACTTTTCTATTACTATTTTTGTATAAAAATAAAAAGGACATTTTGAAACTACATTACTTTTCCAATTTTTTTTCCTTTTGATTTCATTTTATAAACAAAACAATTTTGTAGGACAGAAAAATAAAGCAGCCATAAGATGAAGCTTTCGAATATCTACTCATATGTACTAATTTTTTTCTCTCTTCAAAATATGTATATCTTCTTCTGAATTATTTTTAAATCATAAATAATGTGACTTATTTTTAAATTTTATATATAAAAACAAGGAATCTACAGTCTTTTTAGCATGAAATTAGTTACAAAATACAGATTGTCATCTAAATCTAAATGTAAAGTTGAAAGAATTGCTTTTTATAAAAGAAAATTAGTAAATGAGTTGGGAATGTATGATTCCTGCCACTTGGACTTAAGTGGCATCAATTGGCAAAAAGACTGCTCTGCCTTTTTATGAGTCCATATTGTTGAAATTATATACATGCCACACTACTTTATTACACTTCCAAATTATGTAATTGAATCATCTAATTTTTCTTTTGTTTTGTCTTATTTATTTCTTCCAAGGATTAATAATATAATGTGTAATCTTGCAAGTTTTATCATTTAAATTGACTTCACCAATTAATATTGCTTTAACTTTCAGGCCAAAAAAATTAATAATACAGTAACATTTTATGAGGAATTAATTATCGTTCATCAAAATTGGATGGAATGAGTAATAAATTGATTTATTCCTATTTTTCTTAAAATAAATCAAATCCCAATAGGTCATTAATTTTGCGTGTGGTAATTCCAGATCTACAGCTAAATCAATTCTATTGTTTAAGCATCTAAACTTTTCATTTTGTTAATGGATTCAAATTAAAATTCCAATTTTGATTATGCCAATTCTCTCATAAAAGTATTTTAAATTAACAAAAAGCTCTGAAATGATGGGCTAGGCTATGACATTCTTACATTCATATATGGGGGAATAGAAAACGCTAGAGTGCAAATCAAACTTTATATAATTAATTAATCATTTATTAATATTCAAATAGCAAACATCATTTTCGAAGGTGTGTAGCTTGTCGAATTTGATTCTTTCTGCCTACCACAAACAAATCGAATACTTCAATGCCAAATAATTATAGTAATGCTTCTCCTAACTCTTCCTTTTTTTAATTAAATCCATATATATATATATATATAGATACACTTACATATTTAGGAATGCACATAGATATATGATTTAATTTCTAAGAAAATTAAGGGAAACTTGCATGCCAATTTACTCTCTCTTAGATCTTATTTACAAATCATTTTCAACATATTTATTGAAATTAAAAAAACACTTAAAACCAGTTATCTTATGTAAAAATTTAATAAAATTTCAAATTTTTCTATTAAATATGCATATTTTAATAATGTTTTTTCTCTCATCAACATTTAATAGAAAGGTAAAAAGAATAAACTTATGATAAAAACAAAAATAAGACTAAAAAAATCATTTTTTTATTTGCATTTTTTTATATATATGAAACAATCAATATACATTGTGCCATTTTCTTCCATTATTTGCTTAATTGCATGAATTCATGTCTTCAAAATTGTTAATGTGTGCGTGTGTGTTTATAATCTACTTTGTGAGGTGGATCACTTTATGTATTTGAATCTGATCTGAGAAACTTCAATCTCACATTTTGTTCTATCTTTTGAGCTAGCTATATAAATAGAGAGAGATCATATTCTGTTTTTCTAGCTGATAAAGACTCTTGAAAAAGCTTATATTCAATCCCTCTAGCATCTTAGTGGAGAAATGGTCCAATAAAATAATTAAAAAGTTCATTCTTTGACTTATTCTCGTTTTATTAAATATTTTTTTATGATCTAGACACCGACTTAGCTGAGCACAAGACATCGTTCATTATAAATACTTAAAATTCTTATGAGAAATTCAAAATGTTAATTTTTTTCTTATGAGCTTATATCTGAATTTCCTTTTTTTTTACCCCTCTAATTTTGTAAATGCTTTAGAGTAAATTTTTTTTAGGCCATTTTTGGCCTTTGTGAATTTCCAGATAAACAATGTTATTTTGTTTTCAACATTTGTTCACCTCTCTGTTCCATTATGTATTTAATAATCTTGGCCATTTAATTATTTAGAATCATTAATTCACATTTACATTTGACATCCAATTAGTTAAATTTCAATATATTTCAATGTTGTTGATGTACTGTAATTAAAATTATAGCCTCCATCCAACAGAAGATGAAGAAATCAAATTACGAAAAAAAAAAAAACACTGCAAATTTTAAGATCTTGATAAAAAAAATCGAGATGACACGTTATAACATATATGAAAT